AGGGGCCATGGGCGTAGTCTTCATATGAGAGGCCCTATGGGGGCTATAGAAAATGATGATAGCTAAGACAGCCATCCAATAGGACAAACTGACTCGGTGGTCCCGATTAAGGTGAACGTTGGTTGGACCGACCTATCCAATGGCTTAGTATGAAGTATGCCAACCCTACGAAGCGTGGATTGATGACGGGAGTGCTTGGGTTCGTGTAAGGAGGACTTCTTGGTCACTACTATGGTGGAGACCATGGGAGATTGCACTAGTGGGAAAAATGTTATTAAAAACTGACATAAAAGGGTGGCTTTTAGGAACTATCACGTGTTTGATATGATCGTAAAAATATATTATTTGTATATATTAAACTCTTGATTTAATATTGACATTTGATAATTTAAGAGTAGATATAATAAGTAATTTTCTTTCCTAGACATGATTGCTACTATTTTATTTATTTGTTTGTAGGAAAGAAAATATCGTCATCAAATTGCATTTTACGCCACTCCGATTAAGTGAAGTAAAGTTTACAAGCCAGTTGACTCTCAAGTATTTCAAGCTTAATATTGTTTTATTGTGTAGGCTATTACATTTGGGCCTTGAATGAAAATATCTTCTGTTTGGGTCTAATTTACTCCAATTGGGCCAGTCCATAAATGATTCAATAACAAAGCTAAAGGTCAAAGTTCAACTATCCAATCAATGCCAAGTCAGTCAAAGGCCTAGTCAACGTGGCCAGCCCACTTGACTCGAGGCCTACTTTATCCCTTATGTTAAGGTATATAAAGCAATCAATCTTCTTTCTCTACATTCATTCACTTAGAACCTCAAGCAATTAATACTCTTGGATAGCTTTCTTTCTCTAAACACTGTATTGACTTCAGCATCGGAGGGGCCTTCCTCGGCACAGTCCCCGAGGCCAATTTACGTTTGTTTACTATGCAGGAAAACCTCGTCCTAGCCATCAATTGGACCGATTTCAGTCTTCTGCTCACCAGAAAGGACCTATCCGAAGGTCCCATTGTTTTCACCCGAAACAATTCGGCGCTATTTGTGGGGAAGACTTTAAAAAAAATAAGCCAATCTCAATCGTTCTACGCAATCTTAGTAACAATGGCTAAGAACCGCAAGAACAGTAAAAATATTAACAAATCCAGTGCTTCCCCTTCGAGGAAGAACCCAATCCATTTGAGTGCAGGGAAAGGTCCACTTTCCGCACCATCTCTGTCTCCATCGCCCCCGACGGAGAGGGTGCCCTCGGAGAATCTCAATCTCCATCTCCGCCTTGTCATTCTCGAAAGCGGACAAGCTCTCATCACCAGAGCCAATCGGATGACAAGAGCCACCCTCAAAGCATCCATTCTCACTCCCAACCGAGGACTTCTCAAACGGGGCCCTCGACAGAAGAGGTGGCAAGAATCGTGGCGACCCTCATGGCGGTCATGAAGTCCTAGGCTAGCAACATGCCACCACCCCGCGATTGTTCGCCCCTTCAGCCGAGATAGCTGGGGAGGAGAACCGATCAAGGGGAGGGGGGAAAGCCTCCCTATTTCAGAAAGTTGGGGGACAAATGGGAGGAGGACATCTGGAGAACTAACAAGGAAAGAAAAAGGAATCCCTAGTTCTTCGCAGAATCCACCCATCCCGATTCTCACAGGTATAAAAGCAGCAATTCTGCCTCGACACGAATTGATTCTGCTCGTCGAAGCGTCCACGAACGCCTAGGCTCCAGGGAGTTGAGCGTGCATAGTCGCCTCTCCTACCCCGATCACACCGAGCCGCACCCTAAGTCTTCCCAGCCGAGGACGAAAATCACTTGTACTTCTTTAAGAGGGCGGACCGAGGTCCCAACGGCTAACAACAAGGAAAGGTCGTAATGCTTCCCACCAGTTCTCCATTTGAAAAATGGATTCTGGAAGAGCATGTGCCGACGGTGAAAACCCCGTCGCACATTACATATGATGGAACTTTATCCGAAGGACCATATTTCCTCCTACGAGGGGGATATGCATCTGAACCCTAGGCTCAAAGCGACCTGGTGTAAATACTTTCCTACCACTCTCAAAGGTGTCGCGCAAGCGTAGATCACCAAGGGGGTCAAGGAAGGTTCGATTACTGGGTGGGACGACCTGTCTGCCAAGTTTAGAAACAAGTTTTATATGGCAAACTGCCGAGAGAAAACGACTGCAAAGCTCATGGGCCTGTAGCAAGGGGAGACCGAGAGTCTCCGAGACTATTTAACTCGCTTCAGCAACGAGTCATCCGGAATCACAAGTTTGGACCAAGGGCTAGCCGTCTTTGCTTTGAAAAACGGACTATAAGCTAGCAAGTTCCTTAACTTCATGGTCATGCATCCACCGTGGACCTTGAAGGAAGCCTTGGATGCCTCAGATAAATTCATCCGAGCCGAGGAATGGAACAAAACAAAGACCCATCCCTTGACAGGGGCTGGGAAAGTAAAGCAACAATAATCTGAAGGCCAAGGCTAGAAGAAAAGGAAGGCAAAAGCCTCAAAACCGTCTTCAGCCTTTAAGCGAAAGATAGACAAGTCTTCCTCGCGTACGGGCAGATACGAGTCTTAAACTCCTCTCGCCCTTCCTCGCGCTAAGATTACAGCGTGATGAAGGACGAGCAAAAATATAGAAAGTCGAGGCCACTCCCACAGTGGCATCAGCAGAATTACAAGGACCGATGGTGTGATTTCCATGAATCACCAGGACATCACACTGAGGATTGTATCCAACTGAAAGATCAGATTGAGGATATGGTCCGAAAAGGTTACCTGAAAAGATACCTTGCGTATCACCGCTAGGAAAAGAAAGCAGAGAATACCGAGAAAAATTATCTGCAAGAAATTGACTTCCCCCGAAAGAACAAAACCCAGGAAAAAGAGAATCCTGACATCCTTGCTATTTTTGGGGGGGAAAAATTCTCGAAGAGAGCAAAAACGCCACTTGAGGGCACTGACCCATCAAGTTAATAACGCTGACATTTGAGCACCTCAGTCTCCGATGTCGAACATGACGTTCACAGCCGAAGACTGTCGGGGGGTGACATTCCCCCATGAGGAATTGAGGATCCACTAGTTATAATCACAATTGTCGCTAACCACAACGTTTGGTGAACCTTCGTCGACGGTGGTAGAGGCGCGAACATTTTGTTTCGTTCGGCCTATAACCAACTAAATTTAAAGACCAAGAATTTAACTCTGGTACCTTACCCGATATCTGGTTTCAACGAGTCTTCATCATATCCCGACGGGAAGATAACTCATCCTGTCACCATCGGTCGCGACAAAGCAGTCAGGAACGTTATGGCCAAATTTTTTGTCATGGACGTTCCATCAGTGTTCAACGTGATCATGGGGAGACCTATGATTCACGACATCCAAGGGGTAGTCTCAATGTATCATCAGCTGATGATATACGTTTCAGACGCTAGCTATCCCGAAAGAATTCAAGGCAGCCAAAAGGAAGCTGCCCGATGCAACTACCTCAAGCCATCCACAAGTCGTTTCGGAGATGAAAAGGATGAGGAGGAAAAAGAAAAAGAAATGGAGTGAAGCGCGAAGAAGCGAAAAGGCCTAAGTGCTTTATCCTAAGGCGCCTCATCAAAAGACAAATCTTCGGGGAAGGAAAGAATCGGCTAATCATCTGAGCCGAAAGACTCAGAAGGTTAGACGAAGTCTAGGACACCTGCTGATATTAATAACAGGCTTGATTGCAAAGAATCCGACCCCAAAGCGATGGAGATGGATCAGCAGACTGAGTCAATAGAGTAGGCTGAAGGAGACCTTGAAAAATGCATTAGTATCGCACTGGATCTCGATCCGAATGTCCGGGTGGAGCTCATCCAACTCATTTGGGACAACAAAGATGTGTTCTCTTTCTCGGCAGCAGACATGCCCGGGATTGACACGAATCTCATCTCTCATAAGCTTAACATCGACCCCACGTGCCGACCCATTAAGCAAAAGAAGCGGGATTACTTTGCAAGTAAGAACCAAGACATTACAGCCGAGGTCAAAAGTTGTTGGATGCAGGCTTCATTGAACTCTGCTAGTATCCAGAATGGCTGGCCAATGTGGTGATGATTCAGAAGGTAAATGACACCTAGAGAATGTGCGTTGACTTTACGGACCTAAATAAGGCTTGTCCGAAGGACTTTTACCCCTCTTTGAGGATTGATCAACTAGTAAACATTACCTGAGAGTCTGAGACATTGCCTTAAGCTGGCCTTGTGTCTTAGATATCCATTCTCTCGAATAAACTGAAAACAAGAAGAGAAATACTCCCTCCGTCCCAAATTACTCGCAACGGTTTGACTTTTTGCACTATTCACACATCTCCCTTTGATAATCTTTGTTAACTATTATATAAAAGTAAATGTAATCATGTAAGATGTTGTTGAGTCTATTTTATTATATAGTTTCTTAATATAATATTTTTATAACTTATATAAATATATAATTAAAGATATCAATGGTCAAACATGTGCATCGACAAGCGTGTCCAGTCAAAATATAAAATTAAGATGTTAATATTTAAAATTGAAATGGGAAATATTAGATCTGAAAATTAAAGTAAATTCCAAATCGAAAAAAATAATTAAAAAAAAAAAAAAGATCAGGTCAGATTCAGGTTGACCCGAACCCGAAAAAATCAGGTTAGGGTTGAGCTTTTTGACCCGAAAAGTTAAATGGGTCAGGTTCAGGTCAGGGGTATTCGACCCGAAATTGAATTGACCCGAACACGAACCCGACCTGATCCGTTTGCCAGCCCTAATATGAGGATAGGCGCTATATAGATATGTAAAAAAAGAACGCCTATCTATGATAGGCGTTCTCTTTTCCTTACTTATTTTTTTAAAAAAAAATTATTATTATTATTATTATTATTAATTATTATTATTAAATAATAAAAATAATAATTCGTAAATAATTAATAAAACACCATAATGAATCAACAATAACAATTTATTAGTTACAAAAATTATATACAAGATTGCCCTAAAAAAAATTATATACTAGATTACCAGTATTTCAATTAAAAATTACAATAGTACAAGTTTAGACAACCACCATTGCCGTCAACACCTTCCAAGCACCCCACCACAACAAATGGCGATACAACTACCTCCTTTGCAACACCTCTACTCGCGTTCTAATTTTTTCAACAACATTTCAGACAGCCACCACTGCAATCACAACAGCCGAAACCCACTGCTCACCTACGCCCCCGAATCAACCACTGCACCCACAAATCTACACTACAACAAGAGCCAACATTGCCAAAAAAATACGTTACATAATTATTGTTACTGTTATTGTTACTACTCCAATATAGCAAAATAAAAAATCAAACCAAATCTAAAGGTGAAAATCAAAAATTTGAGATTAAAAATCAATATTTGAGAATTAAAATGAATTGTAAAATGAATATCAGAAATTTAAATCAGAAAAAAAATTCTAATTTTAGATCGATCGAAAATTGCAAAAGTCGGAAATTAAAACATGAAAAGTGATTGATAAAAGATGAAAAATATGAAAATTATAACATGATTAATAAACACCCACAAAGTAACCGCATCAAACACCCACAAATCTAATAATAATTGAGAAGTAAAACGAAATTTTAAAATGTAAACAAAAAAACCCAAAAAAAATCATATCAATCATTTTGTAACATTAATAAAAAATAAAAAAAAATAAAAAACGAATTCGAACATTGCAAGTTTGAAACAAAAAATCGAATTAGAACTTGGAAATTTGAACAAAAATGAGATTAATCTTCATATACCTTTTTGCATCTTTAGACTTCTCAATTCGTTTTAGATCAATATTTAAACATTGAAATTCGAACACAGATTCAGGCCTGGCTCGGTCAATGGCGGCAATTCGTGGAAAGAATTAGTTCAACCCACCGCGGACAAACCGATCAGACAACGCGCGCGCTATAAGACTCCTTGGTCGAAGGGTTTTTGGTGGTGATTAAAAGGGCTTCTATGGTGGTGAACGGGGGTTTCTGGGTTGGCTTTGATCTATTGCGGGTTGGAGCCATTGGAGCTGGTGATGGCTGCAGAACATGGTGGTATGAGGGATGAATTTAGAAGAGAGGGAAGGAGTTAGGGTTAGAGGAGAGAGATGGGTAATGAAGAAAACAGAAGGTGACGGCTAGCTCTTGATAGGAAATGAGTTAGGGTAACTGCGTACTAGTATATGCTTTTTTTTTTTTTTTTTTTTTTTATATTATTATAATATCATAGAACGGTTAGCTAAGAGAGGCGCTCTATATGTATGGTGTAAATTTTTGATATATCCTGTAGAGCGGTTAACTGTGGAAGGCGCTCTATAGGTTCAACATACAAAGCGCTTATCTCACATAGGCGCTCTATATCATTCTAGAGATCGCCTATGCAACTTGACAATTGGGTATTGTGTGTTACTTATTCTAGTTTTTGTGGTAGTGAAAACTCGCTTCCATGGTTTGGTGAATTCAACAATCTCGGATGTACCCTTTGTTGCAAAGAGCGTTCAATCGGGTAGATGGAGCATGAATTCCCAGAGGGTTATGTCCATATGTAGAACACGTATGGGTTTCAGAAAAGTGAGAAAAAATTCAATCAGGAAGCAGGATCGAGCAAACAATACGAAAAACTGGTCGAAATTAGAACGCATATTTCTGGCTCGGTATTGGGGGAAGTTGGCGCCAGCAAACAGAGATTGGCGCCAGATTTTAGCTGTAGCGCCTGGCGCCAATGCTGGCGTCTGGCGCCAATACTCTGGCCCCTGACGCTAATTCCCACATGCCTCAGCAGCTTTCTGTGCTTGATAAAATTTTCCAGTTTCGCGCGGTGTTATTTCGGTCCTAGTTGTGAAAGATATTTCTCAAATTTCCTATGTGTAAAATCCTATGTTTTTAACTCATTACGGATGGTCTTTCCAATGAGATCTTTTTTATGCATATGACAATAATGTTAATCAAAATTACGCACATGAAATACTTAGAACGTTTCAAGTCTCATCCACTCATTCTAAATCATTGCCGAAACAAATTCAAGAATTAAAATAGAAATCCTCCCCAGCGGAGTCGCCAAAAACTGTAGGGAATAATTTCAAGCGTTAACCCCCTAGCTTGAACCCCACTGTGATCATACACTAAAGTACGGTGGCATCCAAAAGGAAAGAAGATAGAGCAAAAGAGTCGCCAACAAGTTTTAGGAACTTGTAAACCGTTCACAGGGTGAAGGTTACACCCCTTAACGATCCATGAGATCGTCAACTCCATAAGGTTTTGAACCAAATAAGGGTTCGGGGATGAAGGTATAAATCCAACCTAAAAGAGATTGAACCTGCCCTAATAATAGGCCTCTACTGTATTCAGATCGTATTCATGTGCGCTTTTCGATTAACATGCAATCCATAGGATTAACCCTAAACATGTTCATCTATGTTTGTTGAATTTAATGTGCAAATAAATCTATTATTGGCGATCACTTGAATTATAATCACATTAACCCTAAACAAGATTATCAATTATCTTATTAAGCGTGATTACAAGTACCAATTTCCTTTAAACATGCATAAAAAGATGTGATCAAACAATAACAATAAAAATATCAAGCAACATAATATAATCATCATAATTAAAACCATAATAATAATAATAAATTAAAATTAAAATAATCATAATAATCATCAAAACAATAATCATAACAATAATCATCATAATAATAATTATAATAATCATGTTAATCATAATAATGATAATTATCAAAATAAAATTATAATCATAATAAAAACAATTATAAAAATAATCATAAATCATGTTAAAGCATAATAAAAATAGCAAGATCCTAGGCATGATACTAACAAGATTAATAACAAACCCTAACATGTCACTAAGCAATAAAAATCAAATATTTAACCCTAACATGATACTAACAATCATAAATATTAGGAAGAAAATAGGAAGCATCATACTTTCAATCATACTTGATATTAAAACTACCCTAGACATGATACTAGGAATCATAATAACAATCTAAGCATTCTCTCTACATCATAAGATCAATGAATCAATTAAAGTACTTACTTTGATGCCTTGTATCTCTTTCTAATAACAAAAAGCACGCGTTAGTAATTTCAAGGAAAATAATAAACAAAACAATTAAATTAAATAATTGAAAGAGAGATTTGGGGCCAAACCCTCAGAAATTAAACCTTTCACGTCTAGGGCGAAGGCAAATTCGAATATGGCTAGGTGTTTCTAGATCTTGCGAATGCGGAATTTTGTATGTAAAAAGCAAGTTTAGAAAAAGGGAGAGAGAGAAAGATGGTGAATGATTAAAGAGAAAGAGAGAATCGAAAACTGATTGTAGGTGAATATAATTGAAAAGCTAGTTGTTGATGAATGAAAACGGAGTTTTTAATACATTATTTATAGAGAAAATCAGCCAAAAAGATAAAATAAACAACACAGAGCATTGGCGCACCTAAAACAGAGCTGGCGCCAACGCTGGCTTATTGGCGCCAGACGCCAATGCTAGCGCCTTAGCGCCAGGCGCCAATGCCTGGCGTTAGGCGCTAACCCTGTTTTTGACGCGTTTTCTAAAATCAGATAAATTTTGCCGTACAGGAGGATAAAATCGTATCTTTTCTCAAAAATGTTCTTTGATTTTAATTAAAACTCTGAAAAGTCAACAAAAGTCAATTTATCAATGCTAATTGAATTAGGAATGAAAAGAACCTTCTAGAAGAATCTAGAAGACTAAAACCATTCCTAATCGTATTAGGAATGATAAATCATATTAGGCCCTCCCCTAGATCATTGGGCCGCATATAAGGCTCAAACTGGGCCCAGTTTAGTAAATTGGCCATAACTTCCTCAATATTCATCGGAATTGGGCTTATAATATATCGTTGGAAATCTCTTGTCAAGCCCCATCCAACTACACTACTATTGGATCCATATTATGGACCAACCAAACTGGATTGGCTGTTTTCTTAAAATAAGTTTTCAAAAAACAGAGAGAAGAGAAAAGAAATTAAAATTATCCGCAACACTAAACTTTCCACACTTTCGATTCATTCGATTATGATTCGACGCGAAAGGTACTCATCACCGTGTTTGGTTTTGGGGAGACACAAATGGGTGTCTACAATACTGTGATTGACTTGACCAACTGACTTGACCAAGTTTGACTTGTGTATGACTTGTGATTGTGTGTGTCTAGAAAGAGTGTGTGCACTGACACAAACAATTAAAAATGCAAAAGCAAAAATTTTCCGTCATTTTTGTCATGAGTGGAGGGTACTAACTTTCTCCCGAAAAAGAAAGACGTAAAAACTGAACTTTTATTCTGGAACTTCCCTCGAAATTAATGTATGCATGATGCATGTTCTTAGGCGAGGAGGCTAAGGACAATTACGTCATGTGACACGATAGATGAATGAACTTAGGTCATGGAGCTAAGCATCATATATGGTGTAAAGAAACGATCTTGAACGTTACTTAGGTCTGGAAGCTAAGCACGTATATAGATGAAGTGATCGATGAGTATCCCATAATGAATGTTACATAGGTCAAGGAGCTTAACACGATATGCGATGTATGAAACAATGAACATTGCTTAGGTCTAGAAGCTAAGCAAGTTTACAATGTCTCTTTTGATGTTGTCTTGAAAGATGACGAAACATGCGCATCGTTGAAGTAAGATTTCATGATAGAGGGTTCCTAGAAGGAAAGGTGATACTAAGGCTGGCTGCAAGGGTTATGGTGATGGAAATATATGTGAGAAGGGTCAAAGATGATGACTCTTTAGGCTAGGTAGGCTAAATGATGTGGGTTCAAGCCCCTAAGTCTAGCTCTATATGGATAGGGGTAAGCATTAGATATTCTTTAACTCGATAAAGCATGGATATGAATATAAATGTGAATATGAATGTGGCCGCACTTCGATGTGAGGTTGCCTACGTATCCGTTAGGAATCAGGCCGAACGTAGCTCTAACTGAACTTTGCACAAGTGTATGTACACCTCAAAGAGGTCTTTCAAGGGTTTTAATGTGGTTAAGCTGATGATTTAAGGAAGAAAGGGGTAAAAGGCTCAAGACCCGTGAGAAGTCGTCCCCAAGATATGCAATTATGGATTAGACTTTGCAAGTTTTATTTTTCATATATTTTTTGTTTTGAATTTCTTTTTTTTTTCTTTTTTTTCATTCTTTTGAATAAATGTAGGCAATATCAGATCATGCGGTCCATCACTCACTTAGCATTCATGTTTCTCAGGCACGGTACCAAGCACTCGATGAGAGACGCAATTTGAGACGTGTTCATATCAAAGACATTGGAACACTTGCCTTTAGACATTGTTTTATTGTTGCTTTGCTGCTTTTTTACTTGCTTTTTGAATGTTATACAATTACATATCTTCCAATCCCAGGGTTAAGTGAATATGGGTTGAAGAAATGAAGGCCAAACGTTAGACGAGGCTCAAAATGGTTGATGAAGAAATGGAATGTGATTGAACGGTTAACAGGGAATGGCAGGGTTGCAAAGGTGCCTCAATTCATTGGTGTACCTTGTGTTTAGTTCGGTAATTGATTGTTTTTTTTAGAATGAGTGAATGAAAAATGCTATGACCGAGAAGTAAAGGAAATTACTCATTTTATTAATGGAATAAAGGTGAACACAACACAAAACTCAGAATAGGAAATCTATGCTAGACTTGAAAGGGGGAAAAAAATTCCAAAACAATTCCAAAAAAAATCATGAAATCCTACACGAAAGGCTTTCCACGAGCTTGTCTTCATTGCTGCTTATCATTTCTTGCCGCCTGGAGGGACTGAAAGTTTGTTGGCATCAACAAGATCTTGAATAGCGTCTTTCAACTTTCAGCATTATTCGGTAGAGTGACCCCTTCCTTGATGGAACTTGCAATGGGCGTTAGGGTTCCACTTGGCTATCCTTTCTTCAGGTTTAGGCTATGGAAATGGCCTAATAGGTGTGATCAAGCCTTGACTGTAAAGGCGATCAAAGGCCGCATCATAGGTCATTCCTAAAGGAGTGTAGGTTCTCATTTTCTTGGGCAATGGAGAATCAAGAGCTAAAGAGCTAATACTTCATTGAGATTAATTTGGCTTATATTGTTTGTAGTATTTTCGTTCTTAGAAGACAAAGAAGAAGGAATGTCTTTCTTCTTATTTTTTCAAGTGTTATTATTGTTACTACCGGCAGTCTTTATTAGATCATCCTCGATATTGATGCCAATGTCATATACATCTTCAAAAGTGTTCAAAGGAAGAAATTTGAGATGTTGCTTGTACTTGTGAGTCAAATTTTGGATGAAGAGGAGAATCATCTCTTTTTCTTTGGGAGGATCTATAAAGAGTGCAGCTGTTTCCCTCCACCTATTCAGATAAGCGGTGAAGCCTTCATTCTCTTTCT